CTCCTATGTACCTAAATTAATTGGTTGACATCATGGAATTTCAGGAGTCCCTGGACTGATGTTCTGCTTAATTCTAGAATCTTTCATAAAATCTGACACATTAGAACTTTCCAACTCCAGTTCCATAGCACTAACGTGATTAACAACTCATCTATTCATCCAATATGCAATCATATGATGAGAATCATCAATTTTATCATTACCTTTCCTAATTATCAATGTATCACAGTCCCAGTCATTTCGAATTTTAGCTTGATACAACCACGATCGCCTCAATAAAATTGGATATGACAATTTAGAGCTTTGCAATCAGAAAATAATATAATCAATTTTGTAGCTAATCCCCGCAATTATTGTATCAATACTTCGTAAAATATCCATAGGTTTAACTTGACTAGAGTCTGTCATTCTCAAAACCACTGTAATAGGCAATAAGTGATCCAAACCTAGTTCTTCCATTGTAGCGGCAATTATAAGATTTACACTAGATCCTTCGTCTACTTGCACTCATGATAATAATACTCCATCAATTGAGACATCAATTGTAGGTGCACCCAAATCGGGTTCAAACTTACTTCTCGGATTTCTTTATTTCAAGATCTACGATGAATTAATGAGGAATTCAAGATAGTTCGATACTCAAGTGCTATCGCCAATAGTTGTTTCATAGAAATCGTGGGCTATATGGTGCCCAAATCTTTTATAATATCATATGATTCTGTATTAGTGGTAATTCCCAATGTCCGTTTCTTCTTCTCAATCCTAGACACCGACACATGTAAATTGGTTTTCTCTATATTAAAAATTGATAAAGCTTTTGGAATTGAATTTGACAAAGCTTGTAAAATCAGTTCTTTCAATGGATAAGATTGTTCTCCCAATTGGGCTGATATTAGTTCCTTGGAATTCACGCCTCTTAGAGGATCTTTCAACAAAAAAGACATTTCTCAAAATTGTGTAGAGAACGGAATAGCTCGATGCAAAACCGAAGCCTTCGTAATTGGTACCTCATTGGGATGTACAACCGATTCAAGTCTTATACTGAGTAAAGGACCCATGTCAGGACCTGGATTGGATGTCCCTATAATTAGATCTAATTGGTCCTTTGCTTCAAGATCACCCAAATGTTGAATTGGTCCTTTCCTCTTTTGCTGACTTCTTATAAGGACAGCTTGGATTACTTCTACAAGATGAACTAGTGAAACTTGAGAACCTTGATTTATCTCTTCTATTTTTTCTTGGCTTTGGATCTGCTGATTTTGATTATTGAAATTGAACGAAGCATTACATTGCTGATAAGTATGTCCCGACTCCTTGCAATTCACACATAGTGGCGCATAATCTTCACTGGCTCTAGGATTGAGACATTCACTGGCATAATGCCCAATTTGTCTGTAACAGAAACAACGAAGTGGTCTTCTTGCACCGTCATTCGACATATTGGGTGTCTCCACCGGTATATACCTACTAGGCTTGTTCCATGTAGGGTTAGAAAATGATCCTGGTTGTCCTATTGGTACGGAGGGTACTTGGTTTGATGACATTGGTGGAGCATATTCTTGATACCTCTGCTACTCCTTCCCGTAGTTTTGAGGGTTTGATGCAGATCCCTGATTAAAATTGGAACTTTGAAAATTATTGAATGTTTGATTTTGTCGATTAGATCGATTTCCATTCCATCCATACATATTTCTCGTTTGAACTTGATTGACTTTCCACTGAGTCAGTGGGATCATGGTCTGATTAATGAATTGTTCTTGCCTTTGTAAATGCCAACAGTTTTGGGTAGGGTGTTTTCCTCCGCAAAATGTACATTGAACATCCATTTGTCTAGGTGATGGACATTCCGTATCAAAATGACCTTGTCCCTTACAATTATTATACCATACATTAGGTCTCATATTAGAAGGCTTATGTCGTTTCTCCTTATCTTTAGCCAAATTCTTGGCCAATTCTTCCATTTTCTTTATTAGATTTAATAACAAGGCTTCATTTGGATCTTTAACAGTCGCATTTGTAAACAACTCCAGTTGTTGATAGGTTGGCGATGTAAAAGAAGGTGTCATCGTTATTGGCGCTATTGCTTGGAATGGTGTAGCATTAGTTGGTTGTTGCAACATAACATTCTTCACATTGGAGGTAGCTATTTGTGGATAATTATCCATCGACACATTTTCAGGTTGTATTTGTTGGCTTCCTAAACTTGGAATCATCGTGGCCTCGACTGTTAAGAATTGGTCATAATGACATTCTTCCCACACCTTTGCTCATGCCAACAATGCTTCTACCATAGTTGGTTGAGCGTCTTTTACAAAAAATTTCAATTCTGGTGGATGCAAAATGTTAATTAATATCGATAATACAAACGCATCTGGCATTTGATTATTTGACCATTTACAAAGTATATCCGCAATCTGGCCATAATAGGACTCTACGAATTTCCTCGCAAATATTCTATTATTCATAAAACTTTCTCGAAGCCGATCTTCAAATCCAATTGGTGTAAAATGGATTAGGAAGGCATTCCTCAAGGCCTTCCAATTAAGAAATCTATCCACTGATTGCCAAATATACCATTCAAAAGCTATATCTTTTAAAGTTGCTAGCAACTATCTCAACCAAATGTCTTCAATTCTATCATTATTAGCCACGCAAGCTGTCAAGAATTGAGATATATGGTGATCGGGATTAGAGCTCGGCCAACCACTAAAAATAGATAATGGTGCCACACTTATATTTCAGTCTCCTACTACTCTCATTTATACTGCAATTGATACTTTTGGCACTCCCATGGCCATTGGTGTTATCACTAGTCTCCTTACTATTTGAATCTGAATTTTTCTTCCTTTGATTTTTCTTGGACTTGCAATTCCTTTTTGTGATTTTCATAGGCTATTTCTTATGCGTAATCGCTCTTGTCTTTCTTTCGCTTGTCAATTATATCTTTGATAATCTCCCCCCCTCCTCCCCTCCATAATTATCACTCATAATCTTTCATTCTTCTTTACAAAATCAATACTGCCTTGAATTATAACTCACATATTTGTAACCCTTAAACTGGTTCTTCTCACATTCTCATTCAATATATAATTTCATCTCCCATACGATCAATTTCTAACATTTTATATTGTTATCATTTCCTCGGTAGCGGTGCCAAAATGTTATTCTCGTTGCATTCAAGCTTCAGTAGACCAAAGCAATTGAACTAATAGAGGTGGGTTCGAACACGGGAAAAGACTGGTTATATGAATTGGGTCTATTAGTGTCACAATTGATTGTATTCTGGCTATCTGAAATCAAGTATCAAACTACAAAACATCAAGGCTTACTACTTCCATCTTAATTCAACCCATAATCCATTCTACGATTATCAATTCAATAATACTTCTCTCAATCACCATTCTTCATAAACAAATAATAAAGTAAACAAAGAGGTAGCACGGGGCTTATCCTGGCTTACAACTCTCAATCTGGCTCTTGGCTTACAACTCTCAGTCTGGCTCTCGATCTCTCTTTCTTCAACCTATTTATTCTACCAAAAAGATGATCCGTCGACCAGCAGATTTCAAAGATTATGATCCTTTGAATTCTTAACCATTTATTCTACTAACAACCTATTGTTACCAACTAAATTGCCTAACCATCAATCTAATTCTCAAGGTTGTCAATAACCAACCAGTAACTTACCACAAAGTTTATTTATCTATTCTACACATACTAATAATGTATATAAATTAAATAAATTTTTATTTGGTCTTAAACAATCTTCTAGAGTATGGTATCAAAAATTAGATCAATACTTACTTCTTTACAAATATCAATATTTAGAATCAAAATACAAATATTTATATTAAATATATATATATATATATATATATATATATATATATATTATCATAATTATAGTCTATGTTGATGATTGTATCATTATTAGCAACAAGATTTCTTTAATTCAACAAAATAGATATTCTACAAGAAGAATTTGATATATCAAATGAAAAAAAAATCCATTTCACTCTAGGCAATGCCATCCTAAAAAATATAGAAGAAAGATGGATAATCTTCCATTAAGAAAAATATTTAACAAATAAACTTCATGAATTCAATATGTTGAATTTCAATCTATTCAATACTCTAGTTCAACCAAGAATTTGTTTAAGTAATGAAAACCATATCACTTTTCAAAATTATCTATAATCTTAAGTTATTGGTAATTTAATGTATGCTATTGTTAATTCTAGTATAAATTGTACTTATGCTATCAATAGTTTCATACAATGTCTCTCTAGACTAAGACCTATATACATTCAAATTTTAAAAGAACTATGAAATATATCAAAGCCACAATAAATTTTGGAATCAAATATCAACACTTATCTCAAGGTGATATTCTACATGGTTATTTTGATGCTCATTGGGCAAGTGACAAGGACATCGACTACTCCACCTTTGGATTTTATTTCTTACTACCTAAAAGAGTTATTTCTTAGAGCAACAAGAAACAACAATTTGTTACATTATCATCCACATAATTAAAACACATGGCTTTAACAAAAGCAATAGTTGAAGCCATATGGTTAAAAAAGTTATTACATGAACTTAGATTTGTTCAACATGAACCAACCACCATATATTTAGATAGTCAAAGTGTTATTGCTCTTAATGAAAATCCCAAATATCACTCTAGAAGCAAACATGTGGACATACAATATCATTTTACTAGAGAAAAGATCCTTGCCAAAGAAATCAACCTACAATATGTGCCGACCACACATATAATAGCATATGTATTTACAAAATCTCTTCCCAAAGAGAAACATTTTCAATGCCTGTCTCAACTAGGCATGTATCAAATTCTTCTAAATTGAAAACAAGCAAACTATTCTACAACCATTCAAGCTTTGCTAATCTATTCAAAACAACAAGAAATTATACAACCTTCATATTTTCATTCATCATTGAGTGTGAAATACTCTAATAAGATAACTTACTCCAAATCCATGAAATTTCAAAATACAATCCTATCTATCAAAACTCCTAAATTGCTAGGAGAACAAGAGACAGGACTTGTTGGAGACCTCTCAGCCGAGCTTTACTACAGAGCTGGTCGTCTGGCTTACTGTGGTGCCCGCCGCCACTCTCCTGTAGAGCCCATTATTGCACTAACTACCGAGCTTGTAGAAAAGCCTGCCATCGAGGCCGTCTGTAAGCTCGCCACCGAGCTTGCTATAGGGTGCACAGCCAAGTTTACTGCCGAGATTGCGGTTGAATTTGCAGGCAAGCCTTTACTGGTGCTCGTCTTTGGGCTTCACTGGCGTCTAACTTAACACCTCCGCACAAGCCTATCGCAGCACCTGTATTGACAATCGGCCCTACAACGGTGCTCACCTTCGCACCTCTCCACAAGCCCGCCTCAACACATATATCAACAATATACCAAAGCTGCGCCGCACCTCCATAGCGCTGCAACAAATAAAGCAGACAAACAAAATCAAAACAACAAATACACCCAAATGAAGAGAAGACATCACATACCTTCTCAAAATTCAAGAAGTAAGGGAAGACCTACGAGAGAGCTCCCCAACATTGCCACAAATTGAAACCTTAAATTTTTCACATATATCCATTTTAAAATGGATGAACTTTTATTATGGATGAAATTTAACTCACGGATGAAGACTAGTGTTCTAATAGGAGTATTGGGAGAAATATTCAGTATAGAACACTAGTCTCCAGTGTAGAATGTTATCTACTTAATTGTGACCTTATACCAAGAGTTGTGACTCTTGGTGTCACCCTTGTACACACAATATATTGTGTGAGAATTGATCATATAATAATATAAGATGTTTCCAACAACCCAAGGGTTTCACCTGAAGGGGCTGCCATCATGACGTCCGGACCCAACCTGTTGAAGCTGGCCAGGAAGGAGCAGTGACTTGCATTAGGACCCAGGTTGAGGACGAAGTTCAAATTCCAGTACCAGTTCTACCGCGTCTTCCCCAATGGTGAGGTGCAGTACCTCCACCCCAACGACGGAGTCTACCGGAGAAGGTGAACGCTAGAAGAACAACTGTGGGAGTCAACAACAAACGAACAACTCCAGACAACGTTCCATCTTCTCAACCACGTCGTGCCTTACACAAAATTTGCGCATTTCATTGCCTACGATATAATCTTGCAGGCTTTTGACGGCGCTGACCGCGTGCACGTCACTGATTTCGACATCAAGCAGGGTCTGCAGTGGCCAGCGTTATTTCAGAGCTTAGCTGAGCGGGAATGTGGCCCGCCCTCACACATCCGCATCACAGGTGCAAACTTCTTCACTCTTTCCTCGCCTACTTCCTTCCAGTGATGTTTGATGAATCATGAATGCAAGGATCTATGAAGTAATCTCATAATTGCATCGTTCAGTGGCGTCTAGCATATGACGTGCGAGGAAGATTGTCAACCTGTAACTCTGTGTTGCTATCTTGAATCATCCTTTTCTTAAGACAACATGTAAGTTCAAAGTTAGTTACAAATCCCTAGTCCCACCACTTGTATTTTGATAAGGCGACTGGTGCTTTCGTAATCGTAAGGTGTTTATATTTGGGAAAGTGGTTAACATTCCGTGTTGCGTTTTACTTTCCCTTGCTAATATGTCCCCCTGATTTTTTACTTATCCTAGTCTTCCAACTTGTGAGCAAATTCTCCATTTAGTCCCTTGTTTCTCGCACAGGAATCTAGCATGAAACATTACTAGGTTGAAATTGAGATGTCCGTGTTTTGGAAGATCAGTATTTTATCAGGCAATTTAATCTAGCAATATGTTCTCGTTACTGAATCTCTGGCGTATGGTTTGAATAGGAATTGGAAACTGCAAGGATGGCCTTCTGGAGACAGGTGATCGGCTAGCAAAATTTGTTGATGAGTTCAACATTCCTTTCTCCTTCCACGCGGTTATAGATAGGTTTAGGATGTACGATTGTGGATGCTGCACGTGAAGGAGAACAAAGCAATTGCTGTCAATTGTATCTCTCGACTTCATCGGTTGCTGTATGATTCCGGGAAAACCATTAAAAATCTCTTGAATCAGATTGGGAGCACAAAACCTAGGGTGGTGGCCATTGTTGAGCAAGAAGGGAGTCATAACAGTCCTCACTTTGAGGGCAGGTTCTTAGAGTCCCTGAAATACTATTTTTCGATTTTTGATTCTCTGGAAGCCAATCTTTCAAGAGAGAGTTGCGTTCGTGTACAGGTGGAACAGCTATTACCTCGTGAGATTCGCAACATCTGTCGTGTGAGGGAGCTGAAAGAGTTGAAAGACATGAGGATACCGCTAGGTGGAACGTACTTATGAGCCAATCTGACTTTGTCAATGTGCCGCTTGAAGACAGTGCTCACAACCAAGCTCAAATTCTCCTCCGCATGTTTGATTCCGATGAGTACACATTAACGGCGGAGAATGGTTCGCTCACTCTTGCACGATTCGACAGTCATTATATTCCCAGGAAGTAGACAGCATGATAACTCTAACTCAAGCTGTTGCCCATCCACATGAGAACGAAAGACAGAAGAAACAAAAATAGTTTCCGACAACGTCACAGTTGAACACCCTCCCCAGCTCGCACTCTTCTTTGATGGGTTAATGCTGTGGTGACCCCGAAGCTCCGATTGGGTGAAATTCTAACACAGCCGCCCTCTTCTTGTCAGGGGATGAGGGGAACGGGGATGAGGGTTGGAGACGGAGATGAGGGACGGGGTGCAATTATGATTTACACAACTGGATCAATTTAACAAAAGTCTGGTTCATTTTAATATTATCTTTCATATATATATATATATATATATATAAATTGAGTCATGATGAAAGTATAATTTATTAAAGGGAATGTTAAGTAGACATACTTTTTTACTCAATAAACCTATCTCATTATAACCATCATTAGAAAAATAGATCATCTCCAAAAACCATCATTACAATCATGGCCCTCATCCCTACCTCCCTCGTTTCCAGCTCCTCGCTTTCTCAATTTTAAGCTCTCATCTTGACCTTCTTTATTCCCAATCCATATTCTCTCCATTTTCAATTTTCATCTTGATTCAATCAGTTTCAAACCTCTGCTTCTTCCATTCTCAGTCTTCATTTCTCTCTTCTTCTTATTTCCACTTAGAGGTTTTGTTGTTGTATTGCAAAGCGAGAGGATTTATATGTCATTTATTTCTAAAGATGTATTATGCAAGAATTGATAAAGGAAGAAATAAAAACCACACCACTCTTAAACAATCTCGTTAAGGAATAACTTGAATTTGAATGACTTACACTTTATGTCATAACTTTTTAAAAAGTTAAAAATTTCATCTCAACCTTCTACTCTTTTGAAGTAAAAAATTGTTGTAGTGCTATCAAGGACATAAATCTTGAAGAACTAAAAGATTAAAATATTCTTAAAAAGACTAGATAATAACCCAAAGATAATATACTATTAAATTAGAATGGCTATTGCAAAAGATAAAAAGACTAAAAAGTCTTGAAATAAGACTAAAGACTATAAAATAATTGATAAGAATGAAAAAGGCTTCATTCTTGCTTCCATATATACTATCTAATTAAGAGCTATGTGGCAATATTTTATAGGACTTTTAACATGTGTTAACTTTGCAAGATATATCTTAACTTGCAAGGTAAGTTTTCTATAGGTGTGTCACATTGTTAGCTTGTTCTACAAGCTACCAACATGTATCACATGTAGTTTACTTGTTGACAAAGTTTTTAATCTATCAATCAACTATAAATATATATAAAATCAAAATCACATCTATAAAGCTTTTAGGATATTTTTTTAAAAGATGTTATGAAATTAATATATTTTTACTTACTTTTATGTCATTAACTTTCATACATCTTGCTATTCTTCATCTTGATTTTGATAGATGTTGTCAATAAAAAGCCTCAAGCTTCTTTGCTGCATTTGCAAGATTCTTTGTTGACTCCCATGTGCACACTCAAATATCATATCTATGCCAATGTATAAGATATTTTAATCTATTTTGGTACTACCTTGAATCTAAAACTTCTTCTACCTCAAATTCTTGATTATTATCTACTTCTATAAGAAAAGGTAGCATTTGCCTTTTTTTTGAGATATTCATTACTTTATATGACTCAAAAAGAGACACGTGGAATATAAGATGGATCTTTATAGACTCCAATAGATATAATTGATAAGCAATAGAATTAACTTGTTTACAAATACAAAAAGATTTAAGCCTACAATAGTCAAACTTATTTTTAAGAATGAATAGTCTTAATATTGTGATGAAGTAATCATATCTTATCATCCATAATACATTGTAGTTATTCTTTGCAATATGCATTTGTATTGATCATTTTTTGTTCTTGAGCTTCTTTTAATTACATCTTCATTGTTCTATGTAACTTTGATAAACAATTTATCAAATCTTCTATTACAAGATTATGAATTTTTAAAAAGTCAAAAGTATCAAGTTGTAGATAGTAACATAATTGGCAAAAAAAATATTTATTAAGTAGAAAAATATATTAAATTATTATATAAAAATTCTACTAATGGCAAAAGAATTGTTCAATTATCTTATTGATAGTTGATGGTACACCTCAAATACTGCTTCAAAACTTCATTCACTCATTCCGTTTGTCCATTGGTTTAAGGATGAAAAGCCAATGAGAGTTTTATGTCCATTTCTAGAATCTTAAAAAGAAATTGTTAAAATCTTCATACAAATTGAGTCCCTCTATTCAATATAATATCCTTGGATAATCTATAATAGTGATAGATGTTATCAAAAAAAGCTTAGTTATTTCTTCACTTGTGATAGATTTTGTACTTGGTCCAAAATTTTCTATCTTAGTAAAACAATCTACTATCAAAAATATAAAATCACACAAACTTGAAGTTAGAAGATTCGTGATGAAATCCATAAAAATACAAGACTATGATTATTTTGAAATAGACAATGGCTAGAGAAGTCCATAAGGTTAATAATGAAGAATTTTTGATCTTGAAAAAATGTCACATGATTTTACAAAGTCTTTAAGTACCTTTCACATTTGAGCCATCAAAAAACTTTAGATATTAGTTCCAAAGTCTTATTGTATCCAAAATGTCCGGTTGTTGGAAAGTCATGATAAGCTTGAAAAATACATAATTATATTTTATCTTTTAGAATATATAATTGTTACTTAAAATATGATAGATTATTTTTAAATTTAAATTTAGAAGTATCATAAGACTTAAAAGGATTATTTTTAATATTATAAATAAAAAAATTACAAGACATACTTGATTGAAGTTGCTTGAGAAAGATTGAATCAACAATCAATGTTTATTTTATTGCTTAAAGATGAAAATTCTTTGGCTTTAAGAAAGTTATTCTTTATTGATTAAAATCTCCATCTTCTTCTTTTGATATAAGATAAAAATGTCTTGAAAGGACATCTAACAAACCTTGTTATTTTTTGGATTGATAAATAATATTAAATTTAAAACTTGATAAAGACGTGCTCTAATAGATTTGGAATTGATTTAAAATATCTATAGATATGAAGTATTAGAGGTCCTTGTGATTTATGTACACAATGATTGGACTCAAGGCACCTTGTGGATTCTCGTGCCATTCTTGAAATGAATCCACAATTAGAAGAAGTTCTTTGTCATAGATGTAGTAGTTAATCTTGATTGCTAAAAAAAAATTGGAATGGATTAGGAAGTCAACTTGAATAGTGTAAAATATATTTTTTTATCTTGGCATATAATTTTTTATCTCTTGATTTTTGTAAGATACAAAAAATATGAACTTTATTCTCTTTTGTATTCATCGAGTAAATTAAAATATTGTCTAAATAACAAATAACAAAATCATGAAGAAACTCATAAAAGACATCATTTATTACATGTTGAAAAGCAACTAATATATTTGTGAATCTAAAAGGTATGACATTATATTCAAAATATCCATATTTGATTTGAAAAGTATTTTTTATTTTATTTTTTTTTAATACATATCAAATTATATGCTTCTCTTAGATCTATTTTTATATAGATCTTTGCTTCATTGAGTTGATCAAGAAGTCTTGAAATCAAAGATAGAGGATACCTATTCTTAATAGTAACCTTGTTGAGTCTTTGATAGTCTACTCACATCCATAGAGATTCGTCTTTTTTCTTCACAAATAAGATAGAACCTTCAATTGGAGTTTTAGAATAGCATATGAAGTTCTTCACCAAATTTTCATCAATACATTCCTTGAAAGCAACCAACTTATTTTGTGATAGGCTATAAATTGGTTCAAATGGTGATTGAGTTCCTTTTTAAAGATGGATGGAACAATCATAAGCATGATAATATGGAAGAATATTTGTATTTTTTTCTTCAAAAATATCTTAATAATCTTAGTATTAGCTTAGAATGCTACTAAAAAACTTTTTTCTATCAACAATAGGTGTAGTATATATACTAAAAATTATCTATTTTTTTATAGCATGCAAAAAAGCTCTTGTATCTATCAATAATGACTTGAATGTATTAATCTTATTAATTTCTAGTTGGCTAGTAGAATCTTGGTATAAATTATAAAAAAATTAAAGTTAAGAGAAACTTTACCTATTTAAAGATTATATTTTTTTAGCCTTAATAATTTTAAAAAAATTGAATTAAAAATAGATCTAATTATATTAAATATTATTTAAGTATTTTTTCTAGTATTTATTACATTTGAATAAATAATTTCATGTGTAATATCTCATGAAGACAACAAACAACCATCTTTATTTTTACATGCACATGTTTGATTTTTTTAATTAAGGATATTTCTTATTTTTGACAAAGTATTCATCTATAAAATAAGATAAGACTCTTGAATCTAATAAGGCTAGTACATTGTGATTTTTTAGTTTTAAAAAAACTTCTATTATAAAAAAAGATGAGAGATTTGAAGAAAGAATATGATCTTTACTAGGTATTATGCAACATTCTAACCACATGGTCCCTATTGTAATTGAAAAAATTTGTTCTTTGACTTATCATCTTCTTTAGTAACCATAATCCTCATTTTGTAATTGTATTGCTTATTTTAATAATATTAAAAAGCACCCTCAAATTCTCCATAATATAGGCATAAATCTTTTTCATAATGATGAATCTTTTCATGTTCAATAAGAAATTTAAAACATATTGTATTAATTTGCATAGGCTGTGGCTTGAAAAAGTAAGCTTTCAAAATTTTAAATTGTATCACTATGACTTGATATATACCTCTCCAACCAAATATTTGTTCTTGGAATCTTTCAAAGAATTGATTCTTGCATGGAATGGCTTGAGTAATAAATTATTATAATGAATCTACTCTTGACATTGTCAATAATAAATATTTGGCATTATCTTTCAATCTATATCAAAATTGATTGATAAAGGCTTTGTCATTCCAATCAATATGGCAAGTAAGATTTTAGAATTTAATAATATATGTGGTTGTCAAGGACATGAAACTTGAGGAAAGAAAATCCTTAAAACAACTATCATAAATATGAATCTCGAGGAAAGAAAATCCTTAATATACTCATGTATCACTAAAAGGAGCTAGAAAGTCACTCAAAGATGATATAATATTGAACTAAAATAGCTATTGCCAAAAACAAGAAGACTAAAAAGTCTTAGAATAAGATTAAGTAGTACATAGGCATTGATAACACTGAAGAAGGCTTCACTCTTGCCTTGATATATACTCTCTAATTAAGAGCTACGTGGCGATATTCTATAGAACTTCTAACATGTGTTGACTTTGCTAGCCACATGTTTTAACTTGCAAGGCAAGTTATCTATGTATGCACTACATAGTTAGCTTATTCTAGAAGTTATTACATGGAGTTAATTTATTGGACAATTTTCTAATTTACAAACACATCTAAAATCAAAACCGCGTCTATGGAGCTTCTAGGAAGCTTTTCTAGAAGACTTTATAAAATTAATCTATATTTACATACTTCTACCTAATCATATAGGTAACTTTTGAAATAAATGTATATATCTATGATATTATCCTCCTTTCTAGAGACAAATTCTACAAGAAGTGGTCATCATCTTTTATAAATCTTACAATTCTTTATCTTGGTTTAAATGGATGTCATTGATGAAAGGCCTCAATCTTCTTTTGTACATTTGTAATATTCTTTGTTGGCTTTCATGTGCATTTATTAATATCATATCTACCCTAATGAACAAGATATTTTAATCTATTTCAATGCCACCTTGAATCTAAGATTTCTTCAACTCCAAACTTTTGATCATTATCTATTTTTATAGGAAGAGGTGGCATTTGTCTTCTTCCCAAAATATTCTTTGTCTTATATGGCTTAAGAAGAGATACATAAAATATAGAGTAGATCTTCATAAACTCTAATAGAT